TTGTCAGCCTCATGTAGTAATGAAGTAGGGGTGATGGTGCTATTGGGGTGAATGTAGGTAAGCATTGCGTACATGAGTAATTGTGGCCTGTTGAGGACCGTATACGCTTATTTGAGCATAGGAATTTCGGCAGTCACTCTATTCACGCATTCATTGGTATCCTCGTGCTTGTGTGCTTGTGTGCCTGAATGAATGGAGGAGCCAAGTCTTTGATTGCAGTGGCTGAAATAAATGCGTACGTGCACTGCAACTCCTTGGTCCAAGAGTCGGCAGTCTACGTTCGCATGAAGAAATGTTTGAAGGATGAATGAATGGGCTGCCAATCATATCACTCCCTCCTCACCGGCAATAACCATACAAAGTGCATAATGCATGTGCACTCCCTTCTTCAATTCATCTGCCTCTTCCACATTCAACAGGAGTTGGAAAATATCAGGAGGTCTATAAAACCATTTCTCTAATTGATGTTCATACAAAGTAGGTGTACAAGAATGAAAGTTAGGTTTTCAAGTACTTCCCGATACAGATGTGGCCGTTATTGCCCTCGACAGTGAAAGCATAAGAATCGAAACCAAAGTTGTCAGTTTGTTCTATCGGACATCGAGGATATAGTCCAATAAAAACAGAACCTGGCATCATTGGTGTCTACCACATGTTGCAACGCAGTCTCTCCCACTTAAAAAGCCCATGCGCACTATTCCACTTTCTTTGGTTATGGACCAGCAAGTTCGCGAGTACATCACTAGGGTATTAGGCGAGCAGGGCATCAAACCGAAGGCAGGTCAGATTTGCTTGAACATGTCAGTTCAGCCCACCACAAGTACCTGATGATTGCTCGCCCACTCACCTGTCGCAGAAACAGCAAAAAAGGTTATGTGGATTGTAACGCGTGATGATCCTTCTGTAGGTTCACTTTCGCCAACCTACATATCATTAATTAAAGATCGAGATTGGTGGTTGTCTCAGCCTATGTCGTAGGTCAAACAAACACAGCGGACTCCACAATTAGCTAAATCACACATTTTCAGACCGGAGTCTCGTTTCTTTGCTATCCCAATTATCCGGACAGTCGTTTCACTCATCACCATCGACCATCCACGGACAACCAGATAATCAAAAAGAGCTGTCATTCACGCAGACATCATAGCACACCTCCATCCGTTGGTGGAACGTTACACAGATGGCTGTATTAACCACAGCAACTCAACGCCACAACAAATGCAAGATAGCAGTCTGTATAACTATGCCACCTCCTCCTTTACCTCCTCAGTGATAGGTTGGGGAGGTACAGATGAGGGTAAGATGATCACTGCGGATCAGTTCGATTTATAGACTTTTAGCTTATGATTATACGTTGCTGATTTGGAAACTGTTGACAAACTTGGAGTTCAAATTATGGTTAGAATTTGGCATTTGCAGAGATATCAGCTTCACAATATGTTTCTTCGTTTCACAAATAAGGCACAATCAAATCTAATTAACACGAATAAACCATGACCGTACATCTGATTTTCTCTAGTTTTACCAGTTAACTTCTCACTTCGTTGCAGATTTTGCTCACTTGATCTCACGCACAAATGGTTTTGAGTCAAATACAATAAATCAATTAAGAAGTGGAACTGAAATTATGGAAATACTTCACCAATGCGGCGTTTGCGATTAGTCAAGATTCTGCAAAGTGACTAAACGCGAACGAAGACTTGCCCATGGTGTGAGCTCCAAAGAGGATGTAGAAGGGCGTTTCAGTGAAAAGATTGTTCATGTTGACCTTTCAACTCATAAATGAATGAATAGTTGAGGATATAGGAAATTGATTCAAGTCTATCACTCGGCATTTGATTTGACTTCTCTTTATTATGATTAGCTTGAAAAGGGCTATAAGAGAAATTGTTCTCGTCAGGGCAAATTACAACGTCTTCAGATCCTCCAGTGGAATGCTGGAGGGATGTCTCCCTACATGAACCCATTAGCAGACACTGATGTAGTTTGTTGCACCCAACTGCTTGACTTCTTCAGGAAATCAAACACTCCTCCCGAGCAAATTCGCTCACTGGCCCTTGCGACAATCAATGTCAACTATCCTGCAGATCAATGGCTCCAAGTCTTCACTGATGGTTCATACATAGAAAACCAAGCAAACGTTGGTGCAAGTGTCTATTCTGAACTCTTCTCTTTCTTCGCAGCAGCGGGACATAATAGATCCGCTTTTGAAGGAGAGATAGAGGCCATTATGATGGCACTATGCCAATTGTGTTTCCTGGATACGAAATTCACCAAAGCGGTGATACTTTCGGACTCACAGTCAGCAATAAACTCTATTGGAAACAGAGAGCCATCCAAGACAACTGAGATATAGTAATGTAGAAAACTCTATCAGCCTCTGAGAGAAAAACCAACAGTGGTCCAACAATAGATTCCTGGTCACTGTGGCATTAAAGGTAATGAGTTTGCTTACACACTTGCTAAGAAGGGGACAACGATTTTGCAATGCATGGACCGCCTGGTAAGAAGGGGACAACGATTTTGCAATGCATGGACCAGCCGACGTCTTTCCATACAATGAAGGCCTTAATCAGAACAGAATTCCAGACCTCAAGGTGCAACGAAATTGAAGCTCGAACAAAAGAGAAACAGTGGACAGTGGCACTCTCCCGATCAGAAGAGAATTCAAGATCTCAAGGTGCAACGAACTTAAACAACAAAAGAGAAACAGTGGACAGTGGCACTCTCCGACATAGCCGACTAGCCAAGAATCAGAAACAGTGGACAGTGGCACTCTTCGATATAGCTAGGAGAAATAGTGGACAGTGGCACTCTCCGACATACCCGGCTTTCCAGACCTCAAGGTTCAACGAACTCAAAGCTCGAACAACAGAGAAACAGTGGACAGTGGCACTCTCCGACATAGCCGACTACGAGAATCGACCGTTGATGAGTTTAGACTACGTACCGAACACGATTGCCTATAAACACCTTCACAGATTGGGAGTATACACTCAACTCACATGTACACCTTCACAGATTGGGAGTATACACTCAACCCACATGGACCTTCACAGATTGGGAGTATACACTCAACCCACATGCCCCCTTCACAGATTGGGAGTATACACTCAACCCATATGCCCTTTCACAGACTGGGAGTATACACTCAACCCACATGCCCTCTGCACAGATTCGTACCGGACACGATTGCTTGACAAAACACCTTCACAGATAGGCAAAACACCTTCACAGATTGGGAGTATACACTCAACTCAAATGCCCGTAACCTACAGGAGGAAATGGAGTAGACCCACCTGATTCGATGTACAGCCCTAAAGGCAACGACGGAAAGCCGGAGTTCTGGGAAGCAAGAAGACAGCTAATGAACTGCTATAGATGTACCCCCTCCCCCACCATTGGAGCAAGCTTAAGTCAAAGTTTAAGGGCTAATGATAAATATCATAAAGAACGATGGTCTAACTCCCCTTACGTTGGCTGTGGAGAAAAATAACATCCACATGGTTCGCTATTTAGTTGCACAGAGAGCAGTGTTTTATAAATATTTGGAGGGACCCGAACTCCCACCGCTTCCTTTTGCTGCCATCGTCGTAAGTCCACCACTTAATGTTATGATTTTAGGGCAGCTTTGATATCCTTCAAGGGACAGACAGAGAAAAGAAGAAATTGAACATGAATGTTGCATTCTTCTTGACCATCTATAATGGCCACAACGATTGGATAGAGCTCGTTTTACACATTTGGAAATGGCCATTATTGAATAACAGGTTGCCATGGTTTCACTTCTTCTATCTCAAAATGCCTCGGTTAACGGTTTTAACCGACATGGCTTTACTCTTCTTATGATATCAGCTGCATCCATCCAATTTTCACTGCTAATTTACTGTTTCTATCCAAGACAAGATGAGATTTTATTGTTGTTGTTTATTTGGAAAGATGGAAGATCGCCGCTATTACAATCAATTCAAACGAACCCTCTTGTTACTTCAAAGTCCACTTTTGCTACCTTCTGCCTTCATCCAATGCGTTGACACCCGATTGGCATCGCAATTTACCGCCAGCTACAACTACTTCTACTCCATGGCCTAATACTACCCTCGAGCGAATACCACTCGAGAGTTTGAACTGATTGAAATGGCGACGATCGCTCATCTTTCCAAATAAACTGATGACGTGTAGGTAATGATTCAGTAGTGTGTGTGGAGTTGGGCTGCCCATTGTGCATCATGCACCCGTTGCTTAGTCAGTTCCTAGAAATGTTGTGCTGGAAGTGTATGTGAAGGTGACGATGATGATGATGATGACGATGATGAGATTGCTGATGTGAGAGGAATGCTCGAGAATGTTGGAGAATTCAATAAAGTGCATCAATAGAGCGATTTACCTCCCACTATGGCAGAATGCCGAAATAAGATGCAGATCGATGCATTCATATGACGAAAACTCGATTCCACATTCGTTTGAGTTCTCTTTGTGTTAACTCACTTGGGAGCAGTAGTGAAAGAATCACTATCAAGTATGTATAGTCCGTAGAAAGCCTTCTATTTTTGCGAATGTCACAAGAGATAGGGAAATTATATACTAAATAGATATGAGGGAGGTGTTGGAAGACGTATTGATAATACATCGTGAATATCATATTCTGAAAAATTGAGTCGGCTTTCACATTTTTCGTTTTAATTCAGGGTTGATAGGAGGTTGGTCAACAAAAAGTCACAATTCCCCGAAAACTGAACTCGTTCAAGTACCACACCATAGTCAAATGGAATTTGATTTTATTGATGCACGCTCTACTTGAGGAGCTTTATTAAATTCTGCTTGAGATGTATTCAGTCAAATTACCCACACTTGTCAGACATTCGTTCGTTCGATTTCACGCCTCATTAGGACAAGGAATTGGCCAATATCACATCAAGCACTCAAACATCTATTGGTTACTTATAATCAAATTAATTGACTTGACCAATCGTTGATGTCACTCTATTGATTAATGATCAAAGTATTTTCTCAAAACATCGATATGAATTTAATCATGTTTTCTCTTTGCTTCTCACACCATGGCCGAGCCACAGCAAACACTTTATGAAGCTATCACTCGAAATGACATTGATTCTGTGAGAATTCAACTGGCAAATGATGTAAGTCAAACTCCATTGATATTCTTCTAGGTCAATCCAAATATCTTCCCATATAATCCAACAATTACACCACTCATTTTAGCAGTGAGTCTAAAGCTCCATGACATCGTAAATGAACTATTGATGAACGGAGCTGATGTAAATGGTATTGATGAATTTGGACGGACTGCGTTGCATTTTGGAGTGGACAATAATGATGAGGCTTCCGTCTCTATTCTTATTTCACATAATTGCAATTTAGAAAAATATGACAACGATGGTCTAACTCCTCTTACGTTGGCTGTGGAGCAAAATAACTTCCAAATGGTTCGCTATTTGGTTGCACATGGATCAGTGGTTTATAAGTATGTGGAGCTTCCTGAACTCCCACCTCTTGCTTATGCTGCCTACTTCGTAAGACCATCAATTAAGGTTATGATTTTAGGGCCACTTGGATATCCTTCAATTCTTAATGAATGTGGAAGAGACAGATAGAGAAAAGAAGAAATGGAACGTGAATCTTGCATTCTGCTCGGCTATCAAAAATGGTCACAACGAGACAGCAAAATTCTTAATTGATAACGGTGCTTCAATAAGTCGTTTGCATGAGAATTGGTTATCTCCTTTGGATACTGCCATTATGGGAAGAAATGATCACATGGTCTCATATCTTCTTTCTAACAATGTCTCGGTTAGCGATACAAACCGCCATGGCTTCACTCCACTTATGACGTCTATCATTTATGACAACCCTTCAGCAGCAGCACAGCTGCTTTGTTATGGTACGGCACAATTATTGCACTAAAACACCTCGTTGTGTTAAGGAGCTGACCCGGATGCGCTGGTTACTGGCTATAGAACAACAGGAGAACAGGTCGCAATGGATATGAGGAGGGTGGAAATTTCCCAAATAATATTTTCGTGGAAATATGAGTTCGTGCCGTCACTGTTTGGATGGTGATAGAATTTGTTTCCCTTATCTTAATAAATCATTGACTTGGTATTTTATCACCAGAGGATGACTCGAATTCCTACTGGAGTTTTATATATTTCTCTCCTCACAGGTAGCACATTAAGCAGTCTCACTCATGGCCAA